TGTAATTATTCATGATTAACCACAAAATGCCGTATTTTATTACAGAAATGAAAATACAGGCATGTAAGTCCCATTAGAATTTCAAAACAATCCAAGCCAAGAGCAAACAAAAATGCTTTATATGTTAGATTCTTAATGGACGACAAACACACACACCCGCAAGCACGCATGCACACACAAACACACACACACACACACAGACAACGCACGCAATGCCGGTGAGCGAAAGGGATCCCTTCAGATTCATCAACAAGATTGAATTGATTGAGATTGAAGATTTTTGATTACCTTGAAGGATCGCGCGAGTCCCGAAATGTTTTTTCTTTCCGATCGCCATGCTGTATCAAATTCCGTTAAAGTCTAATTATTAAAAAATGAAACACCCGAAAATGTATGATACTCTAGAGGAAACGCAGGATAGCCTGGTGATGCCACATAATCACAACAATAAAATTTTTTTTTTTTTAAAAGGTTAAGGTTTTAATTTCAAATTAATTGAGTCAACTAAGAACAGAATAGAAATTGATTATACAAAAAATACAGTGGGGTTGGTTTGTACATAGCACAGTGCTCATTAAGCAAATACACGGCTATTGACCTTATTCTAAAATGTGGAAGTGCGCCTGTTTTCGCGATAGTCTTAAAACTTCCGTTTCAGTCGCCTATGGGAGAAATGACAAGGAATAATAAATGGCAAAAAACGGTCAAACTACTTGCCCTACAAACAAATGTTTGCATGACTATACAGACCAAGTAGAATAATATAACAAGGAAATATCAAATTGCAACATCAAACAGCGAAACGAGCAGTTTTTAATGTCTAAAAATGAATGGAAGTGAATGAGACCGGAAGTCTCGTGCCAAAAAGATTCAAATGGCAGCGCCCGCTCGTCTGCAGAGAATAAGGTCAATACAATATGCTAATTGTTGCCATTAATGTTAAGTTAACATTATGCCAAGTCAAATCACAAATGAAACACTGTATGGCAAACATCTTTGGCTTGTTATGTTGCAGTGCACTTTGCAACAAGCTAACGTTAAATAGATAAGTAATATTAACCTCTAATAAAGCAGATTAATTGACAATTACATCGGAAATCAGCATTTTTGCGGCAACTAATTTTTGAACGAGTCTTTATTAACTACATAAAAGAGAATCGCTTTATTTAAGGTTAATAAAATCCCCTTGTGTGTGCGTTTGTGTGTGTACAGCAGGTGAGGTGTGGAAAAGCACGCAGTGGGCCAAACCACTCTGAGGAAGAGCAGGGGTAACTCAATTGTTTCTAAATGCATTTTAAATGACAAACGCACTTTTCTTTCTACTTAGACAATTATTTTAGGTATATATATTATATATATATATATATATATATATATATATTACATATTTTTCACAATAGAGAGTGTTTTTTTTAATATTTCCTTTTTGGGGGGGTTGGGGGCTGCAACCCTCGAATAGGTCCCCCCCCCGTCCCTCTTGAAATTTATGCCCGTGCCCTGCTGGTTTCACTAACACCACTCCCGGCAGCAACCAAGCTTTCCCATGTGGTCTCCCATCCCAGTACTGACCGGGCACAGCCCTGCTTAGCTTCAGTGGGCGACCATGTGAGAGTTGCAGAGAGCTAGCTGCCGGCATCGTAATCAAGGCACAATCAATCATAGCGCCACCTGTTGGCAACAGTAAATGTCATGTTTACAGTGTAACAAACTCCTCCTAAAAATATTATCTGAATATATGTAGAGTTTTTGTGAACATATGTGTTCGTGGAGGACTGACACATTTCAGTGTGTCACCATGAAGGAGGAAGCACTATAAATCAGCCACACAATATCCGATCTGCCTAAAAATTCACAGGTTCGATGAGATTTCTATCCTGAAGACATCTATACACCAATATTATAGTTGAAGTCAGAATTATTAGCCCCCTTTTGCCTTTCCCAAATTATTTTTAACAGAGCAAGGAAACTTTCACAGTGTGTCTGATAATATTTTTTCTTCTGGAGAAAGTCTTATTTGTTTTATTTGGGCTAGAATAAAAGCAGTTATTAATTTTTTTAAAAACCATTTTTGGGACAAAATTATTAGCCCCTTTAAGCTTTTTTTTTTTTTTTCTCGATAATCTACAGAACAAACCATCACTATACAATAACTTGCCTAATTACCCTAACCTGCCTAGTTCACCTTATTAACCTAGTTAAGCCTTTAAATGTCACTTTAAGCTGTATAGAAGTGTCTTGAAAAATATCAAGTAAAATATTATTTACTGTCATCATGTCAAAGATAAAATAAATCCGTTATTAGAAATAAGTTTTTAAAACTATTATGCTTAGAAATGTGCTGAAACAATCTTCTCTCCATTAAACAGAAATTAGTGAAAAAATAAACAGGGGCGCTAATAATTAAGGGGGGCTAATAATTTAATAATATATATATTTATATATATATATATATATATATATATATATATATATATATATATATATATATATATATATATATATATATATATATATAGTTGAAGTCAGAATTATTAGCCCCCTGAATTATTAGCGCCCCTGTTAAATTTTGTATATATATATTTATATATCGGCTTAGTCCCTTTATTAATCCGGGGTAGCCACAGCGAAATCAACCACCAATTTATCCACCAAGTTTTTACGCAGTGGATGCTACGGTGGCCGGGAAGTGCAAAACAACATTACAAAGTGTGAAACACTTTAACAAAGCACGAGACAAATTTACATTTTGAAAAACATTTTTACCTGTCATAAGACACAATTAAATAGGAAAAACAATTTTACCAAAGACGAAACAAATTTACATTTTAGAAAAAAACTTTACAAGACGTAAAACACTTTTACAAGTCCCGAAACAAATTTACATTTACAGATTCCTTACGGAAAGAGCATGTACCACACATCGGAAGTGACGTGGAATGTACCATACAATGACCTAAATTATTATTATCCATGTTCTCTGTCATCCTAAGGCCACACGGAGGTGGTGAGCACAGGTGCAATGTGCCTTTCATTGCTGCTTGTAGATTTAATTTATTTATGCATTTATTTTTTTACATTAGAAAAGTCATAGATGGAATAGATAAAATTAATGTGTTTGTCGTCACTGTTGATGTTTTCCTCAAATGCCACCAGCATTGTGCGTTTCTACAAATCTCATGAATATTTAAATACCCAATCATTGCTAGCCTACTAGCACAATATATACTGCAATTGGAAGTGGTTCATTGACGGAAATAGGATTATCGCTTGGTTTATTATCTCCCTAGACATAAAAGGAAATAGATTCCCCCAAAGGAAGAAGATGCCACAATAGCATCAACATGTGTCATCAGCCATTCAAACTACAATTCAAAACAGCGCTTTATCCCGACGAAACAAACAAACAAACCCTCAAGTCTGGAAGCATCCGAATGTCGTCTGGTTGACAGGCTGTGTAATTGGCAGGCTCAAAGCGGGTTGTGATCTAGGCTGACCCGCTCGGTAATTTCCCTGACGTTTATTTACATAGTGGATTAAGTCTGTCAGAACTAAGCCTGCGAGCGTGAGGGAACCGTATGCAGGAGGTGAATGTTTATCTGGTGTCACAGCTTCACTTGGAAAGCCTCTCCTTCACTTTTTTTTTTCCTTAGCACTGACAGGGCAACTTTAATAACAGCTGAGAAGTGCGGAGGTGTGTATGAGAGTGTGTGCGTGTCAAGTCCGACGTGGTAAAAGGGCACCGGGTGATGTGACAAGAAGACGTGAGGTTTTTAGAAGATATTTTGTCGCAGCAGACGTGAGGAGGAGATACAGCGAGGTGTCTTTAAAGGTTCAGGCAGAAATGTTAAGCACAGATGGCAAACCAAAGGGAGTTTATAGATGTGAACTCTCTTTCTCTCTCAAAATAAATTTATCTGAAGAAAAACAAACTAAATAAATAAAAATATATATCAGTCCACAAAGACTATAAAGTCACGCACAGAGAAAAGTGAAAGCAGCAGAGTAATTTCAGATGATGCACGGTGTCTGTGGCTTTTTTGCTGTTGTTAAGATTTATTTGTACTGTCCACAATGGCTACAATGACCAATGGCTGGCTACAGCACATCATTTTTTAGGTGATTACATTTAATTCTCCATATAAATGGCTCAATGAACTGTCTATCCATCCATCCGTCCATACGTCTTTCTTTCTTTCTTTCTTTCTTTCTTTCTTTCTTTCTTTCTTTCTTTCTTTCTTTCTTTCTTTCTTTCTTTCTTCCTTTCTTCCTTCCTTCCTTCCTTCCTTCCTTCCATCCATCCATCCATCCATCCATCCATCCATCCATCCATCTATCTATCTATCTATCTATCTATCTATCTATCTATCTATCTATCTATCTATCTATCTATCTATCTATCTATCTATCTATCTATAATTTTGTTTGTTTGTTGGTTGGTTTGTTTGTTTGTTTGTTTTTTGTTTCTTTCTTTCTTTGTTTCTTTCTTTTTATTCATCTATTTCCTCCATCCATCCATCCATCCATCCATCCATCCATCCATTCATCCATCCACCCGTCAGTCAGTCGGTCTGTCGGTCTGTCCGTCCATCCGTCTGTCACATCTTTCTATTCATCTATTTCATCCATCCATCTATATATTTATCTATCTCATATTCTTTCTCTTTCTTTCTTTCTTTCCATCTGTCCGTCCGTCTATCTATCTATCTATCTATCTATCTATCTATCTATCTATCTATCTATCTATCTATCTATCTATCTATCTATCTATCTATCTATCTATCTATCCAACTATTTGTCTTTCTGTCTGTCTGCCCACACATACATGGGTACTTTATAAATTTAGTTTTTCCCATCGCTTTTTAAAATAAAACAAATCCATCTCCACATTAAAATGCAAAAATGCACAAAGATGCATGTTGAGGGAACACAAAAAAAAAGAAAAAGAAAAACTTAACATATGCAGCAACATAATTTGGCAAATATAATGTAAACAGCCTTACTGTCTCTCTCCTGGGTTGTGAGGTCAGGAAGACGCAGGACATGTCGTCGTGGCAACAGCAGTGTCTGGAAGGGCCATGTCGCCCAATACGGCACCACCACTAACCAGTGCTCGTTTTCTACAACCACGCGCTCCTGTGTCATCAGAAACAAAACAGTTCATGCAGTATTAGCAATATATTATGCTCTTTCATGTGATTCATATTTACTAACTCCAAGGTTGATGCTTTATATTATTTTGAACATCACTGCTCAAGACTTTCTCAATCATAAGGTTGTGGTCATGTGATAAAGCCAAAAGCATACTCTGTGTACTAGTAACCAAATATAAATACTTAAACAATGCAAGTAAATGTACAGATGAAATCATTGCAAATTTTTTTTTTTTCTTACTTTTTTTTGTCTTGTTTCTAGTCCAAATATCTACAAATTCCTAAACCAAGAAGCATTTTTAAACAAGCAAAAACTATTGTATTGTTTTAAGAAATAATATCTCAAAATCAAACTTAAAATGAGCAAAATAATCTGCCAATACGGTAAGCAAAATAATCCAATGTCAAAAGTGTAAACAAGATTATTTTGTTTGTTTTAAAGAAAAACACACTTAATTTTGACATATTCTTTGTTAAAACATTACAATATATATATATATATATATATATATATATATATATATATATATATATATATATTTTTTTTTTTTTTTTTTTTTTTTTTTTTTTTAATGTATTTTTTTTATTATTATTTAGAAAAATGCTTCTTGATTTAAGAACTTTAAATATTTGGACTTAAAACAAAACAAAAGAAAGGTCTCCAGGTATAAAAATGTGATGAAAGATGGCATAAATCAAACTGTTCGCCCTTTAATGCCAAGATCTGCGAAATGATGCTATTTCAAACTTTGCATTTTGTATTTCAACACTCCCCTGTTCAGTATTCCAATAAAGTCAACGCATTCAGGATTCAAAATATGCATTCAAATATACGAACTCTCAGTTTTCCAGCATGACAGACTTATTGAGTCTTCTTTTTGTGTGCCTGTGGGCTTTGCACACTTAAATTTTGGCTCATTCGTCTATGCAAATGCCTTCCAACTTCACCAGATTAGTTGGATGGATTCCACGGCCTGCAATTTTTGAGCTCAATCTACAGCAGGATTCAAGGACTCTGGCATGGTTTTTCCAAAATACCGACATTCTTTTGTTTAAGTTATTCATAGATCTGCTGTGTGCTTTGGGTCAATGTCCTGCTGGAAAATCAAAGTCCAAACCCACATCTGGCCAATTTAATCAGGTTTACCTGATGGATCTGCCAGTATCTGACTCTTTTGCTCATGGGTTGGATGAGTTCTGTTTTGTAGCTTGGTACAAAGATTTTAAATAGTATTAAATGATAAATCATGTTACATTTAAAGCCAAAAGGCAAAAAAGTTGAATAATAAAAAAGGGATTTATTCCATTAACCCATTAATAAACTAGAAACAAACAAACAAACAAAAATTGTTTGTAATCATGCTATATAAAAAGAGAATTTGGAGTTCATTTCAAGAGTGTGAAATTGAAAAAAATAATAATAATAATATTGGCCCATGGTTATTACATACAGTTGAAGTCAGAATTATTAGCCTACCTTTTTATTTTTTTTCTCCAATTTCTGTTTAACGGAGAGAATTTTTTTTCAACACATTTCTAAACAAAATAGTTTTAATAACTCATCTCTTATAACTGATTTTTTTTTTTTATCTTTGCCATGATGACAATAAATATTATTTGACTAGATATTTTTTCAAGACACTTCTATACAGCTTATAGTGACATTTAAAGGCTTAACTAGGTTAATTAGGTTAACTAGGCAGGTTAGGATAATCAGGCAAGTTATTGCATAACAATGGTTTATTCTGTGGACCATCAAAAAAAATATATTGCTTTGAGGGGCAAATAATTTTGACATTAAAATGTTTTAAAAAAAAATAAAAACTGCTTTTATTCTAGGCGAAATAAAATGAACATGATTTCTCCAGAAGAAAAAATATTATCAGACATACTGTGGAAATACCCTTGCTCTGTTAAGCATCATTTGGAAAATATTTAAAAAAGAAAAAAAATCAAAGGGGGGCTAATAATTCTGACTTCCACTGTAGGTGGATGTGGCTCTTAGGCTCTGCCTACTTTGACATAGAAGTATTCTATGGCTCATTTCTCTTGTTTAGCCTACTGAGTTGTAATTCTAACTTGATTTGAGCATGAATCTTCCAAGATGGATCATAGTAAAGCTCAAAGTGTCTAATTTTGATCCCTAAATTTTGTTTGTAGCTCACTGGGGTCAAGTACTGTTACTATATTAAACTCAGGTAGGTGTAAATCGCCGTGAGTGCTGGCTAACAGGTTAAAGGAATAGTTTAACAAAACTGAAAATTATGTGATCATTTAACCACTGAATGTCACTGAAGTCAGCTTTCTTTAAAATATCTTATTTTTTGGTCAAAAGAGGAAATCAACTCAAAACGGTTTGGAATTACTTGCGGGCGACATTTTTGGGTGAACTACCCTTTTTAAACAACAGACACTTCTTCATGTTTAACACTAATATAACCCCAAATAAACAGGCATGAAGTGACTCGACTAGATTGTCTTTCTTTGTTTTTGTAGTAAAAACACAGACAAAATATTTCAGATTGTTGTTAAACTTGTATGTGCTTTATTGTTTGCATTTGCCAGTCATGCTTTTTTCAAGACAATTTAGTAGTGATTCCCATTAGCAGTGGAAACTACTAGAAATGCTTTCACTGGAAGCTAGATATGTTTCAGTGAAACCTCTTTTCATTTACATTTACAAGATATACGGTACAGGGTACAGGTGAATTGGTCAAATTTTCCGTAGTGTATGAGTGTGTGTGTTAATGTGTGTGTTGATGTTTGCCAGAGATGGGTTGCGACTGGAAGGGCATCCGCTGCGTAAAAACGTGCTGGATAAGTTGGCGGTTCATTCCTCTGTGGCGATCCCAGATTAATAAAGGGACTAGGCCAACAAGAAAATGAATGAATGAATGTAGTTTTTGATTCACATGTTTTCCATTTATTTACGGTTGTGAATTGTGAAGTGAGTTTTATCTCTGCTCTGTTGACTTTTAATGTTGTAAAGACGACTCTACAGTTAAACAAAGTGACTTTTATTGACATGTTAGTACTTTGAAATAATATAATCTACAATATAAGTACCATTCCTCATAAATCTTTTAAACTCATATTTTTAATAGGGAGCTATACAATATTATATTTTTGCATATACATTAGATTAGTCAGTACTGAATCCAAATCTGGAGCTTATCTAACAAAATACCTCATGATAACAGTCCAAAAACTAGTGTACCCAAATTTATGTCATAGAAAAATAGTAAACACAAATTTAAAAATAGGAAAAATCAAGAGAAGCAAATAAATTAAAAAAGTCAGTTGAAATTCTGTAGGTTGTAATTTTACCAATATTTAGCTTGAATTTAATTGTATTATCTTTCAATTTACAAGTTTGTTTGATGACTAAAATATTTTTTTCATAAACATATCTCTTTATTAAATCTGTTTTGTTCAAATACTCCAAAATACATTGACTATATTCACTGGGAAATGGATAAAAAAATATTCATTTTTAAAATAGGGTGTACTCAAATATCCTGAGCACTATAAGAAATACTAAATAGAAAAAAAAAAACTGTAAAATAATGTAATGGCAGTTTATTTCAAGGTTTTTGTACCAAAATATATAGCACCAATCCAGACAATATATCACTTTAAACTTTTAAAATGTTCATAAAATTAACTTTTTAAAACTTTTCAAGGTTAAAAGCTGTTTAAAATAAGATCAAGTTTGCATAATACAATTCAAAAGCATAAATAAACAAGAAAAAAATAAAAACATGAATCACAAATAATTGAAAACTGCTAATTTATGGATATTTTACAGTGTACAACAATTTACAATTACAATTTTATCAAACAGTTACCAGTGTTTAGTTATTCTTTTTCATCTACTCTCACCAGAGCATCCAATATGTCTTCTGTCATGTGTTAAAGATCCACCAAGAAGTTCTTAAAAACGAATGTTCCTTGGCCACCGGAATTCAGTAATTTGAGTTCATAATCTTAAAAATAGGAAATGCCCTAATTTAAAACATATATATATATATATATATATATATATATTAATATAAATAAATATAAATAAATATATATATATATAAATAAGTTATTTTAATGTAAACATTTGAATTATCTTTCCTACAAAAGCACATCAATCTGCTTCATGTGTTAACCCCTGGTGGAGTATGTGTTTTGAGCTCTTTTTGGAAGCTTAAAAATAAGAGCCACTATCCAACAACATTATACAACATGGAAAAGCCAGGATAAAATGTAAACTGTGTTCATCTGAAAGAATAAAGTCATACAGTATACACCGAAGATGCCTTGAGGGTGAGTAAAATAAGTTGCAATTACAATTTATTTGGGTGCACTATTGCTTTAAATACTTGTATTATTTTAATTTCAATGTATTGCATCTTTTTGAGAAGAGAACTTATTTACTTATGTACACTGACTAATGTTGAATGACAGTTTTAATGCGTTTAAATAAATGTATCAAAATAAATGGAATTGAACTGATTTTGTTTTAATCAAAATAACTCATTTACATATCTATTAATTTGTTGTTTCATTAAAACATTAAAGGTAAGAATGGTTTAACTAATCTGTCTGTCGTTTCACTTCATAAAATCTCAATGTTTCATTAAGAGCCACAGGTATTTATTTTAATTAGTCTGTATCCATTTTTTGGTAACACCTTACTTGTAAGGGGCTCATATGTCATGTCATGAATGTGAAAAAGATGTTATGCATGCTTACGACAACTGTTATTAGTCATATTAACTGGTATATAAGTGTCATTTGCTCAGTTATGTAGTTTTAAATGCAAAGATGACATTGCTTGTTATGACATCTTGACATAAACATGTATATCATCTTAACTACAGTGGTACACAAGCTGAATTTGTCATTGAAATATTATTAAAAATGAATGACTCTTAAAAATGGTTTGACAGAGTAATGACACTTTTAATGAGACATTTTAATGACAAATGTAGT